ACTTTCGCTGACCCGATTTTATATATTAAAAAATATAAATATATATCATATATGAAAAATTTAAAAAAATTAAACTACCAATCATCAAAGATTCAAAATATGCTTAGCATAATTCAACCAATTACATCCTCAAATCAATATTACACAAGCTAATCAAAGTATCAAACTATCAAATAATAAAACACATAACAAAAAGTTATATCATCAAAATCAGATCTTCCTTATTCTTCTCACACACCTACAACACATGTGGGAACACACACACCTTGAAGCTCAAAATGCCATGATAAGGAAATAACTTCTGTGAATGATTGGATCTAGTGGATGTAAACATTGATGATATTTTATTTTTTCCCAAAAATGTATGCTTTGATTTTCTTTTTTTATAATTTCTCTCTTCATTTCTTGTTTTTTATATCTCTCCATTCATTTTATAATATAATTATAAAGAGTTTTGATAATTACAATAAAGGAAAATTAAATTTTTTGTTTATTTTGATAGTTTATTTGAAATATTTTTAATAACCTTTATTTATAATATTTCTATATGTAGGGGAGCATACATCATTTTTAAATTAATTCAAACTTTTCTAACAAAATCACCACTCTTTTTATGTCATATATAAATTTCAATAACTTGGAAGTTGTAACTTAATACGCGGCTTATTAAAACTTTTTCAACGATAAATAGCACATTATAATCACGACTTCAATAGTTTATTATATAAAAATATGTTTTTTTAGTAAATCATGTAACATAATTATGAATTAAAAAATAAATATTTTAAAAAAATCACAAGTCATTTTTGATGTCCTTGATTTCATTATAAATATAAAAAATAACAATCTTATTGAACTTGTTAGAGAGTTAATGTTATTAGTGGTGTCAATATAGGTTATGACACGCGGGTTGACCTGCGACACGACACGAAACTCTGTGTTTGGGTTGACCCACAAAAAAATCGCGTTGTGTTCATGCTGATGTATTCGTGTTCGTGTTGATCCATAATTATTTTTAATTTCGACCCATTTTTTTAATTTTTTGTTAATTACCGTTTTGACCCCTATTTTGCGTGTTATTCGTGTCATGTCAACCTGAAAAAAATTCGTGTCATGTTTATGTTGATGTATTTGTGTTGTATCAGCTCATTTTAACACCCCTAAACATTATGAACTAAAATTACCAGCTTACAGTTGAAGTCATAGGCAAGTTAAGACATTATGAACTAAAATTATCAGCTTACAGTTGAAGTCTCAGGGGGCGTTTGGTAGAGGAGAAATTTTATGAATAATAGGGAAATGGTTGGAAAGTGAGATAGGTAGGAAAATGTAAAAAAAAGTAGTTTGGTTGGGAAAAATTTTACTGGGGAAATTAGGTAACTTTTTTGAAATCTATGTTTGGTTGTAGGTAAAATATAGATGGGAAAATTAGATAACTTTACGAAAATAACCCTGTTTGTAAAAAAAATTTACGGTTACTTTGCAGTTGGTGCTGATTATAGCACATGGACTAGTGCCAAGACCTTTGCAGTTGGTGATAGTATTGGTAAGAACTAGTTAACTTTTTTTTTTTTTTCAAACACAATGTTATGCTATTAGTCTCCAAACTCATAATTTTTTGTAATATATGTAAATTAATTTTTTTTGATGAACTAGTTCGAACTAATTAAATACTTCATGTACCTTTTTTAATTTGCTAATATTTTTCATAATTTTTCAAAAATCATTAGAGATAATAACATTAAATTATCAAACTTTTTAATTATGCTATAATCAAAATTATAAATGCCACAATTATCAAAAAAGAAAGCTACAGTTGTTGGCATAATTAGTGATCCCACTTAACTTGCTTTATGTAAAACATTCAATTCAGCAGCTAGACATGTGAGTTCTCTTTCAATTATGCTTCATGTAATACATGTAAATTTTGCACCAACAGTCTCAACTATGAAGTATTTAATTGTTATGCTAAATAGTAAATAATAAAAAGAATAAAAGAAGCAGCTCAAAATATTATTTATTAACTCTTTTCAATATTTTCTTTCTGCACCCCACTTGTATCATCTTCCTGTAGTTTGCGCTTCTGTCCTTTTTACTGTTCATAGACGAAATATCCTTTCTGAGCATTCTACATATGTTAAGACTCAAAACAGAATCACACTAAGGAAATGGAAAATGTCATTATGTCAATACCTGCAACTCCTTCTACATTGACATATCCATGCAAATTTTCTCTAGCTGGCTGAGTCTACTCTTCCTTGCCCCCAACTCTCTACAACATATTCAACTCAACATGAAATGCTCCAATTTGTTCAAATAACAGAACTGATAGCAATTAATTTGACCATAATCGTTATCACCACTCTTTTTTTTTCTTTCTCTTTTTTGGGCTAAAATATTAATCATCCTTTCTGAAATAAAACTTCAGTTCTCAAAACAACAAGGTTCCAGGATTATGGGTTGTCAATAATAAATACCACACTAAGATCCATGCAAACATACAACATTGAACACATTAGTCATAACCACATCCCAAACCTTCTTTCTGTATAAAGGGTGGTTGCTTCTGAGGCTTCATAGCAAAGATCCTATTCTTTAATCTGAATTAATATCCCCAAGCTTTGTTTTCTTTGCCAAAGAAATAAGCTAAACAAACTTTCAGAAGTAATTGTGTTAACCAACCATTCCCATGAACCCATAGACTGGGATACCGATGAAAAAAATGCTAAGACTCATGAGCCAACACATTACTACACAAAAATCCTAATACTGTTAGCTTTCATTGCAATTAAGATGTTTACTAAAACTAACAAGCTTTAAATTGGACAAGCAACAACAATTATAGAGATATTGCTTTTTCCTCTACACAAGTTCATCAATTTCTAAGACACTGCAAAAAGAAGGGGTCATTAGACTCTGAGGATGTTATATTAAATTTAATACCTAATGAAGAAGACAAAAGCTCTAGTAGAGTAGATACCGCCGAGGCATAGTAAAATGGGTACAATTCGTATCTGATATTACAACCCGAAAGCAGGCTTCTTGCACCTCGTTTCCCATTATAGCAACTTGGAAGAGCACTTTTGCAACCCATTCTCTCTGTATAATCAAGCATCAGATTTGTCCTTTCGTAGGCATCCTTTGTATACAAGGTGGACAGACTGCTCTGTTGAGGTGCTAGGACATTGAGCAGATAGCATAAGCCTCTCCATCCTGTGAATAAACGGACATGAATACATAAGGATAATAGATTGATAATAGCTTGATAGCCGGTTACAAGAACTGAAATACTAAAAAGATAATATCATATCCTACAATTGTATAGGGATATTTTACCTAGTCCAGAAGGTATTTCACCCTCCAAGGAATTAGAACTGGAGTTCCTATAAAATTAAAGAGAAGTTACGTACCAATAACTAAAACTAATATGAAAATGAACAAATTTAATGTAGGAAAACACATGCTGCATGCAATAGAAGACATTTATAGTATATGGATACAAAATTGTGGCCAACAAGCATATATATATATATATAAGATTGAGGCTTGCACTAGAATCTGTAAGGAATTCTAGGACTCAAATCCACACAGAAAATTGCAGAAACATGAGGAAATAATTTAAATAATACTTTATCATTCACATATGCATTTCACCGAGCAGGTGGATTGCAAATTTGATAGCAGCTCAGAACCATGTCATTCATACTCATTAACTCCCAACGATTCATTACTATATAATATTCAATCAAAAACAAAACAAAAATTATCCAAATTCTAAAATAAAATCTAAAATCAGAGCAACTAGCACTGAGAAAACCTAAAATAAAAAAATTATTTTCATTATTATCATTGTATTCTTATTTTATTTGACCAAGCAATCATGAGCGTAAATCAAAATGGAAAAGCTCAATTAATTAAAGGAAGGAAGATGAAACTCTACGAACCTGGAGTGTCAAAAATTTGATGAGATTGAAAGCTTGTGGAGAAAAAAGAATCACCAAGGTGATTGTAAACAAAATTCCATACGAAGAAGATGGGTATGTTAAAGCATAAAATTTGGGAGATGGAAAAGAAATTTCTGCAAGGAGAGTTTGGGCTTCCTTACTTAAGCACTCCAGAGAGTACCCATTTCCATTCACGCACTTAAACAAGGGGTACGCTCGTCTTTTGCCAATAACACCATATGACCACATACATAGATAACCACAAATACCTCCTCAGCCAAGGGAATTTCTCGCCGACTATCTGCCTTCAGATACATGCATAAACTGGTTTCATAGCAAACAGATTTAGGTGGCTAAATGACGAAACTCTCTCAACCAAACATGACCATTGTATTTCCCCACTTCACATTTCCCTATCATTCTCCTCAAAAACCTTCAACCAAACGCCCCCTTAGGCAAGTTAAGGATTACGGGAGAAGTGAATGAGATTAATTATGATTGGTGAGTGATGATTTATGCAAAGTTTCAATCATGAGAGCAATAAAGATGAAGATGACTCTTTTTTTATATATAAATAAATAAAAATTAAACACATAATTTAATATAATCTATTCAAATTCCTCCTCACTTGTGACTTTTGAAAATAACACGGAAATATTTTTAATAAAAAATAATCAGATATAAAAGAACCATTAATTTTTTTTTAAGTGAGCTAGTGAAGTGGCTCAACCGCATGATTCAAATAAATGCCCGGACAGTACCATTCAAATTAACTTTGTTAAACTTAACTAAATTGAAAACTAAAAGTTACCCAAATTAAAAATTAAGATTAAAATATCGGGCGTATAGGTAAAAAAATAAAATTGCCTGGTGGTATATTAATATGCCACACAAACACAAGAGTGGATAATTAACCTAAATATAATCAAAATTCCTTACCTTAGTAGGGTCACCCCAATTCGGTAGAGGGGAGGGCTCAAGTGAAGTCCCTCCAAAATGTGAGGCAGAAACGGATAGAACTTAACATGAGGTCCTCTTTTGTTGTCTCATTTCTCATAGGATAACACATATTCCCAATCCTCTTTCTCTATTGCTAACCCCATTTTCATTTCCAAACCCTCTCTTCCTCCAATGGCAATTTCTTCAGCAGCAGCGGCAGCAGCAACAGCTACAACTGCCACTGCAACAGCAACTTCAGCTTCCTCAAAGTTCATATACCCGCATGCTTCTCGCTCCCCTTCCCTCTCTCTCTCCCTCAAACCTCACTCACCCACAACCCACCTTTCCTCTTCCTTCATCAACCCCTCCACTATCCTCCACCTCACTCCAACCACCACCACCACCACTCGCCACCGCTCCTTCACAGTCCGCGCCGCTCGCGGCAAGTTCGAGCGCAAGAAGCCCCACGTCAACATCGGCACAATCGGCCACGTCGACCACGGCAAAACCACCCTCACCGCCGCCCTAACCATGGCCCTCGCTTCTCTCGGCAACAGCGCCCCCAAGAAATACGATGAAATCGACGCCGCGCCGGAAGAGCGCGCTCGCGGTATCACCATTAACACCGCCACTGTGGAGTACGAGACGGAGAACCGCCACTACGCCCACGTGGACTGCCCCGGCCACGCCGATTACGTGAAGAACATGATCACCGGCGCCGCCCAGATGGACGGCGCCATCCTTGTTGTCTCCGGCGCCGACGGACCAATGCCGCAGACGAAAGAGCACATCCTGTTGGCGAAACAAGTGGGTGTTCCGAACATGGTTGTGTTTCTGAACAAGCAGGACCAGGTTGATGACGAGGAGCTTCTGCAGCTGGTGGAGTTGGAGGTTCGAGAGCTTCTTTCGTCTTATGAGTTCCCCGGTGACGATATCCCCATTATATCTGGTTCTGCATTGTTGGCTTTGGAGGCTTTGATGGCGAACCCTGCACTCAAGCGTGGCGAAAACGAGTGGGTTGATAAGATTTATGAGCTTATGGATTCTGTTGATAGCTACATTCCAATCCCTCAGAGACAAACTGATCTTCCCTTTTTGCTTGCCATTGAAGACGTGTTTTCCATCACGGGTCGTGGAACCGTGGCCACTGGCCGTGTTGAGAGGGGTACAATTAAGGTTGGTGATACGGTTGATATTGTTGGTGTGAGGGAAACTAGGAACACTACTGTGACCGGGGTGGAAATGTTTCAGAAGATTCTTGATGATGCCATGGCTGGGGATAATGTGGGGCTGTTGCTCAGAGGTATCCAGAAGGTTGATATTCAGAGAGGGATGGTTTTGGCTAAGCCTGGAAGTATTACACCTCATACCAAGTTTTCTGCAATTGTGTATGTCTTGAAGAAGGAAGAAGGTGGAAGGCATTCACCCTTCTTTGCTGGTTATAGGCCACAGTTCTACATGAGGACTACTGATGTCACTGGCAAAGTGACATCCATTATGAATGACAAGGATGAGGAGTCAAAGATGGTGATGCCGGGAGACCGTGTTAAGATGGTGGTTGAACTTATAGTGCCCGTTGCTTGTGAACAAGGTATGCGATTTGCTATTAGAGAAGGAGGAAAAACTGTTGGAGCTGGTGTTATCCAATCGATCATTGAGTAGATTGTGAGATTGGTTTCCAACTACATTACTCTTACGTGGTGGACAAATTCACTATCATCGGTTTGTGCAATTTACTTTTGCCATTTTACACCACTTCTGCCATATCCATTTTCTTATATTTTGTAGGTTTTTAGAAGATGTTTAGACAAGTTGGATAATAATTTTCCAGTGCTTTGTTTGACTGACTTCTCTTTTATAGTCTCAATTCATCTGTTAAGTACTTGAGCAAGATGCCACAAATGCCTGCTTTCCTGAAATTATGAGATTTGTCTTAGAAGGCTGAACATTATTTCTCGTTAGTACAGTCATGCTATGTTTGGATGGAGGGTGTGGAAGGGGAGTTACTTCCCTTGTTTGTGTGTAGGCAGGGAACTCTTCATCCCTAGCTTAGGAGTAAAATTTAAAATAAAGGGAATGTAAATTATTTTTCTCTTATTTAAGATAAATTAAAATAAACTCTTTTCCCCACTATTTACCCCCAAATTCAATGGGGAAGAATTTTGAGGGTTTGAGGACCATCCCCTTCCTTCCTCTCCTTCAAATCTTACAAAAAGGGGTTTGGCTGACTTTTCCCCTCCATTCTCATCCCTTTACCTTCCTTACCTCTTGTCCAAATTAGACTATTACAGTGTGTGGTTGTCTCTCTGTGCCTCTCTCTCTTCACTCTTTTTTTTATAGTCTTAAGGTATGCAGAAATAATGTAATTGGCGTTTGATGGGACCTTCGGAGTTATAGAATTAGTTTAGTGGTTATAGTGGTAAGCGCAGGGGCTTCGCTTAAATAATAGGAGGGGGTGGAAGGGAGATTTATTCTGAATTGTTAGCTTTGGGGAATTGAGCAGTAGCTCAGTTGTAAAGCCATTTGTTGAATGGGAAACCTGGGAAGGAGAATTCTCTCCTTTTTCTGTTCATATTTTATTCACCAGTAATAGATTCATTCATTTTCTTTCTATCTCATATACTATTTTTCTATTTTTGTTCGTGGGTCCGTAAGTCTGTAACAATTTGGTCTGACCTGCCAGATCCTTAATTGGCAGACAGGGAATCAAGAATCGAAGCACCAGAGAATTCTGTGGAATTTTTGAAGAGAGTGGCCAGCGATCATGGAGATAAGTTATCTGAAACCAAGAAAACTTTGGATGGGATTGATTGAATCTGGCAACTTCTTGGACGATGGATGCAAAATCAGGTTATCAAATCGGAGGATAATAGCACCAACGAGCAGCCTGTTAATGAAGGGGTTCGACCTCCTTCAAACAAGCATAATGAGGAGAATGCGGAGGGAAGTGGTTCAGAATGTGTAAGTGAGGAATCTCGTTGTTGGATAAGAAATATTCCTCTTTTGTTGGCAGTGATCCTTGGGATGGATAGCCAAGGGCTGAAAAATTCTGAGGTACAGCAGATCAAACCATTGGAGAAGATGCAACTGGCTTTCAAGTTTCATCTGCATGGACTGATCTGCTGTACACTTGTTTCGGTTCTGGCAAAAAAAAGGCATTCAGTTTGTCTTGAGAAGGTTTTATGTAGGCATTGATCCCAATATTTATTGGAAAGAGTTTGGGGAATGTCTAAGAAAGGCTAACTACACTGCTATAAAAGGGTTCCAAGGATGAGTATGTCCAAGAATTTGAGGACCCTGGCAGTTGTAGAATCAGTTATAAAGTAGTTATAGAATTAGTCAGGTGGTTATAATAGTAAGAGCAGGGGCTTAGCTTAAATAGTGGGAGGGGGTAGGACGGAGATTCATTCTAAATTGGTAGCTTTGGGGAATTGAGCAGTAGCTCAGTTGTAGAAAAGGGAAGCCCTTTGTTGAAGGGGAAACCTATTACAGATCCACAAGAAGAAAGGAAATAGATGAGGAGAGGAAGAGATTAAAATAGACTTGATATTATTGAGAGTAGAATTCATACACACTGAAAAGTAGTTGGAGCATTGACGAGGCCATATGGCATTACCAAAATTTCGAAGCGCCCTTGATGTGTTCGAACGGCCGTTTTTGGAATGTTCTTGTCTTTCATTAGAATGTGGTGGTACCCGGCTTGTAGATTGATCATAGAGAAGTAAGGTGCCCCATGTAACTCATCCAAGAGCTCTTCAATGATGGGAATGGGGTATTTATCCAGGACGGTAGCCTTATTTAGTGCCACATAATTTGACACCACTGCCAGTTTCCATCCTTCTTAATGAGGATCACCAGACTAGAATACAGAGTTGTATTTTGGTGTATAATCCTTGAATTCAGCATCTCATCCACCAGCTTCTCAACCCTGTTTTTCTGTATATGTGGGTATCAGTTTGGCCTAACATTTATTGGTTTTGTTCCCACTTTGATGGGTATAGCATGGTTACTCCTTCAGACTGGAAGTTATCCTTCTGGGGTGGAAAACAGCAAGCTATATCTGTCAAGCAACTTATGTAAATGGGATTCTTTGGGTTGATAGGGTTTGATCTTTCCCCTCTGTTGAGACACTTCTTCGCGGTTGGTGTCATGATATATTCTGACAGAATTAGTAAAAAAAAAGATTCCACATTGGATACCTTGTGCATGGCCTTGGGAGATACCACTGCCTTAGTTAAACTTGGGTCCCCTTCAAGCATAATAGCCTTACCTTGGTGAGTGAAAGACACACATGGATTTCCAATTTTCCCTGATGTCTGCCCCCATCTCTATCCACGTCATCCGCAGAATTAGATCCACACCTCCTAACTCAAATAGGTAGAAATCACCAACAAACTCTTGATTAGCCATTGTCCAATGCAGCTCCTTACAACACTCCTCTGATATCTTCTGACACCAAAAGGAGTTGATAATGCCTGTAATCTCTGTTGGCTCACTAACCCCCTTGAGATGAAGTTATGGCTCACCCCACTGTCAATCATAATTAGCATGAGAGATTCACCCACAGAGCCCCAGAGCTTCATGCTGTCGGGTTGTGGAATTCCCCTGGCAGAGAACAAGGATAGGTTGAGCGTCTAACTGGAAAATTCTTCTGTTTCACCATCCCCTAAGGATTTGTCCTCTTGATGTTACCGCTTGACAATTTCTCCATTGTCATACGGCTATTCGTCCTTTGTCAGAATTATTACCGACATGCTTTTTTTCAGGCATCCGGTGCATTGGGCCCAACGTTTGGCCACATTCATGTGACAGAAATAAGCTCCTTGTGCGGGACCTGGGCGCTTGGTACATTGAGGGTCTATGACCTATTTTTGAACTCTTATCCGAAAATTGGTTCGTGCCATAAGCACTTATGTTTGGGCGGGATGGTGTCTGACCTTGTAGCACACTGGTTACACTCACTTGACCTGACCTGGACAACCCTGTTGGAGTTACAATTGCTCCTCCTAAGCCGTGTTTGATATTCGACAATGGACGAAGGAATCAAACCTGACTCGGTGCTGCAGCTGGTGGCATGAAGCTTCACTTTCACCACTCTGGCCATATTAATGGCCTTCGTGATGTCACCAGGGTCATGCTCATGCATCTGCACCCTATACTTCGCCTCCCATTTAAACCACCCAAGAAATACCGCAAGAGTTGCTCATTGGGGATCTCTGACGCCTGTGCTACCAAGATCTCAAAGTTCTGGACATACTAATCCATGGCTCTGGTTTGCCTCGAAGTGGATAAACTTTCATAGATGCTACCCCTATTTTTTTCTCCAAACCTCCACAGCATGGCCAATGTTAGACCTTTCCAGCTTCCCACATCAAATCTGGTGTCTTCTTTCTCAAGAATCTAAACCAGTGTACTGCAGCGCATTCCATGCTTATGAACACAAAGTATATCTTTGTCTCCGGTTTGTTTACTGCACTTCGAAGAATTTCTATGCCCTTGCAATCCACTCCATAGGATTGCTGACGTCAAAATCAGTCAACTCGACTTTTCTTTCCCATGTCAGAGACTCATCTTAGATGGACTCAAGATTATCATTGTGTGGTGTCTCCGTTATTTCCTTCATTGGTCGTGAACTTGACGTGTGAGCAATTTGCTTGTCTTCTTCTCGCACTAGGCTAATTGCCTTGTTTCTCTATCCACCTATCCAATAACTGCTTAATACCATCGATGCCTTCCATATTTTCCGGAATCTCAGCCACATGAACCTCCAATGAATGAAACCATGCTCCATGCTCGCTCGTCGTCTCCTCCAAGAACTCCACTAAAATCTTCCCTGACTGAGAGATCCGGTAGGTCCAATCAAAAGTTAATAGAGGAAGAGAATTAGCATTGTTGAGATGAACAACACGGAGAGAGATCTCCTTTCAAGAGTTTTCCCTTCTCACAGATCCTTAACATAATCCCCAAATGAATCCCTTCTATCCCCTTCTGCTATTTAAGCTAGGACTCTTGTAATTTCTTAACTTTCTAACTCCTTTACTGACTCTAATTGCAGCTAACTAAGCAGACATCCAACCATCTAACTAATCCTGAGTTTGCTCCCCCTGTTTCTTTCTCCTAGTACAGCTTCCATATTTTCTTTGGATCTTGTTGGGTCCCATCAAAACTCTCGGTGGGAGAATTCTTCATTCTTTTTCTTTCTATCTCTCATACTATTCTTCTATTCTTGTTCGTGGGTTGATAACAGTGTTGCAATTTCCTGAGACAGTTGGTGTTCATGCCTCTTCATTTTGGTGGTTGAAGTCTTGCTGATATTTTATTCTGGATGTATAGGTCTTTATTGAAAATAAATATACAATTGAGGATTCAACTACTTATCTTGGTAAGCTATTAAGGTATGAAAACATGTCACATTTCTCCACACACAGATTTGAGGCCCTCATTGTGTTCAGAGCAGTAATGCGTCCTGAATCCTGATCAATTTTATATCCAGAATCAATAAATTGTTCCTTGTTATATTTTTCTAAGCCAGAACACCCCCCCCCCCCAAACCAAAAAAAAAAATGCGTTATGTAAGTAGGTTCGGATTAACAGTTGTATTTCTGTTAATGCCATTTTCATGGGAAGCAAATAGAGAAGTTGGAGGCCTTACTTGGACTATTACATATATATGAATCTAGTACCTTTGATATTTCTTATGCTAAAATACAACTTTTATTTTGTTAAATGGAATGAAAAGAAGTTCAACTGCTCGCAAGAAAAATTGCTTCTGCAGTTCACTTTGTTGAAGGAGATCGAGGTAAGCAACTGGGCGGCAGCTAAAGCTGAATGATAAGATAGATGCATAATTGACTAGAGCTACCTGTGCAGCTTTAATCTCGGGACTTTATTAATTGAGATAGGATCCGTTTACAAACTATTTTTGCAATTACACTAATGTAGGACCGGTCGTACACTGTGTGATTAATGTAGGACCAGTCCTACATAGTGTAGTTTGTAAGAGTTTGTAAATAAAAAAGTTTGTAAATATAATCTGCCCCTTATTAATTAGTCATTTATGTTTGCACATTGCTTGACTAGCACAAGCCTTTCGGCCTACCAGTATTAACAATTTCAAATGCTGCAAATGAACACATGCAATGTTAGAACATGAATGGGAAGGATGGCCGCTCGCGTAACCTAAAAATCGAGTGAAGTCGTTATGATGAAAACTTAAATGGATTGATTTAGAAAATGAAAATAAAAAGAATCAGTAGTCAATAGTACACTTCAATATTTTTACTCCCTATGGTGACGTTCATATAGCACGTTTTTCTCATTAATCGAGAAAGAAAAGGTCACGCGCTTCGTAAAATACAAGATAAATGATATTGTAACAATCAAATTGTATTATTATCATGTTATTACCAATCAATTTCATCATTAGATCGATTATGTTGATCCAACGATTATATTTATTTTCATCTTTATATGGTTATGATTTTTCAAATTTAATACTTTATATTTATTTTCATCTTTGTATGGCTATGATTTTTCATATTTAATACTTTCACTTCAAATATAAGAAATCATAACCATACAAAGATGAAAATAAATATAACTGTTAGATCAACATAAGCGATTTAACGGTGAGATTGATTGGTAGTAACATGGTAGTAACACAACTTGATTGTTAGAATATCCTTCTCCAAAATACAATTGTGAATCCAACCTTTACATCATAAACTCGTATTAATAGGATGGTTAGAACTAACTTCACGTTATACAGTTGTAGTAATTTTATTTGGATTTATAACAATAAACTTTTTTCTATTATTGGTCTATAGAAATGCCTTCTCAAAGGATACACTTAATCTCTCAGATGAATATTAATTGTTCACCAGGCTTTGTTTGAGAATTTGGAGGGAAAAGGAAGAAAAGAGATCCAAGGAGGAGGGAAGGGAAAAGAAATGAACGGTATGTTCTTTCCTTATTTGGGAGTTAAAAATATGGTAACAGAGAAAAAATGGAGGGTTAATAAAATATTTTTGACATTTTATCCTTTCTTTAAAAACAAATTTAATTATTATAGTTTATAAAATTAAATTAAATTTAAAATTTCTAAAAGAAATTATTTATGTAATTTTCAAGATATTAAAAAGATCATATTTTGGATGTAATTTTTTCGTTGCAAATGGCAAAAATTTCATCGAACAATACTTTTTCCACCAAATTTTTTCGTGAAAATACGCTTCGTCAAAAGGTGATGGAATTTTTTATCCGTCCAAATTTTTGATTGAAATAAATTTGCATAGAAATTTTCACCTGAAAAATTTTTGTTGAAAATATTTACGAGCGATTGATGACATGTTTTTTCTCAATTTTTTTGACAGAAAAAATTTTTGTCAAAATTTTTCGACCAAAAATAAATTTTGTCGAAAATTTTCACGCTGATTGATGACATTTTTTTTGAAATTTTCAACAAAAAAATTTCAGTTGGAAATTTTTCACGAATTTTTTTTTTCGATGGAATTTAGTTTCCTTCAAAAGTTTTGACAAAAAATAATTTCTTAAATATTTTTCGATAGAAAAATGAATTCCGTCGAAAGTTTTGACGGAATTTTTTTAGTCAAAAATTTCAAATAAAAACATGTTATCAATTCGCAGGAAAATTTTTTACAGAAATATTTTTATTAGAAATTTTCAACAAAAATATTTTCCATTTAGATTTTTGACAGAAATGTTTCTGTCAAAATTTCGAAAGGAAATGCTTTCACTGAAACTTTTGACGGAATTTAGATTTCATAAAAAAATTTGACGTAATTTTTTTCCATTGAAATTTTTTGCCAATTATTATGACCAAATCTTGTTTCGTCTCTAATTTCGTCTTTAGTTTTGATGGAATTTTTTTTCATCTTTATTTTCGACGCAATATGATTTTCATAAAAAATTCTATTACTTTTTTCAAGGAATATTTTTCGTCATTAAATTTTATCTGTATTTATGATTTTTTTTAGTAGAGTCATATTTTAAAAATAAATAACAATTATATAATTTTCACATTTCAATGCTAACCTTTTGCCTGTTTTTGGTCTAAGGATGAGATTCTTAATGATAGTTGGTTGTATTCACCATTTTTTGCAATAATAACTTTTTCTGTAGCAGGATTAACTGCATTTTATATGTTTCGGATCTATTTACTTGTTTTTTATGGATATTTAAACATTCATTTTCAAAATTTCAATGGAAAAAAACGAGTTTATTCTATTCAATATCTTTTTGGGGTAAGGGTAAAGAAGATAAAAAAAAGAAAAATCATTTATTATCTTTTTTAACAATGAATAATGATGAAAGGACTACTTTGTTTCGCAATAACAAATATTCACAGCAAATTCATCGAAATATTAAAAGCATAAGACATCTTTTTATGGATATTTCCTATTTTAGTACTCAAAATACTGCTTGTTTCTATCCTCATGAATCGGATAATACTATGCTATTTTCTATACTTGTATTAGTACTATTTACTTTGTTCATTGGGACCGTAGGAATTTCTTTCAGTCAAGAAGGAATTAACAATTTAGATTTTCTATCTAAATTGTTAATTCCTTCTATAAATCTTTTACACCAAAATTCAAATGATTCTCTCGATTGGTATACATTTGTCAAAAATGCAACTTTTTCAGTTAGTATTGCTTTTTTAGGAGTATATATAGCCTCCTTTTTATATAAGCCTGTTTATTCGACTTTACAAAATTTAAACTTATTGAATTTTTTTGAAAAAAATCTTCCTACAAAAATTGTCTCAAATAAAATAAAAAATTTAATATATGATTGGTCGTATCCCCAAATTAGGAGAATTTTAATTTTAAGGGTGTTAAAAGTTTTGAAGAATTTTACAAAAATTTCCAATTCATTTCTCCCATCTTTTTTTAAACTCAAAAACAAAGAAAGGAATAAATAAAATTCCCTCTTCTTAAAAAGTGACTTCCAAAGAATCACTTATTAGAGATGGTCGGGATGTGAAATGATGAAATCCAAAAGCAGATCTAAAACGAACTTGTATAGAGTATCCCAAAGAAAAAACAAATAAACAAACTTACTTTCATAGAGAGATGTGAAATAAAGTTAAATACATATGGCCTCAATTTAAGTAACTATAGCGTAGACTACTTCACCCCCTAAACTCATGCACCACAATAAAAACCAGTGCCTGTTTAACTAGCATCAAAAGGCCATGTAAGGAGCTGCTATCAATTGTGTCACTGTAAATTCTACGAATATGTTTCCTCGAATACAGTTGATAATACCAACTCTTGAACAAAAGCTGCCCTTAGCCTTCTCTCTTGTTGATCCTGCTCATCACCCATATCTGGTTCATCTGTTCCAGACCTGCAAAGACAAGACCACCAGCAACATGTCAACGATTTAAGGAGAGACTTTTCATAAGCTTTCTTTCTACCTCTTTTTTTAGTCCAGGATACAAAACTGTTAAGAACCACATCAACCCAAAACTATAAGGCTTTGGGTAAAGGCTTTTTTAATGATTTATATTATTCTCTAACACACCCGCTCACGCAAGAGTCCTTTGGGTTTAAAGCATGGATGATACTACACAGTCCCAATTTTTGGTTTTACATTTTGTGCTTTTTCTTTAATTTCACTTGAAAGTGAAGGCAGTAAGAATCGAACTCGTGACATTGTGGTCTGATACCATGTAAAGAATCAATTTAACCCAAAAGCTTAAGCTATTGGAAGAGACTACATTAATGATTTTATATATCTCAACACGCCCCCTCACACGAGAACCTACTGGGCTTGAAGGGTGGACAATGCACAGCTCCATCTATCTACCTGTGCGAACAAAGAAATTCCAAACAAATTGGTGGGGAGCGGCGAGGATCGAATCCGGGACACGAGGCTCTGATACCATATAAAGAACCAATTCAACCCAAAAGCTTAAGCTATTGGATGAGGTTACATTAATGATTTTATATATCTCAACAAAAGCAAAGCAAAAGAATTTGAGCAGATTAATCTCAATGCAAAGCAAAACTCTTTCATCCTTTTTTTCCCCTTCTAATTTCTAAGTCTCATTAACACCCGAAAATTCTTCCACCTTGTCTTAAAAGGTGATAGCTACTAGACCCATGTTAACGACCTCATGAAATGCTCGAATCTGAGATTGTAGTTTCCCCCTCCAATTTGTTATTTCTTAGTTCTTGTATAAAATTTTCACTTTAGTCAAATCATGATGCAATTATATCTTGTTAATGAAAATGATTAAGCAGATGCTGTTACTTCCCTCTGCTTCCTCCCCAAAACGACCATATCAAATATAACTTTTATGGGGACAAATCAGACGAAGAGTAAGATATGTTATACACAAACTTTCTTAAAATATCAAATTATCGATCAACTTGAATGTGATATTAGAAAAAAACAAAATGCTAAATCAGAAAATAGTCGTCTTGCTTCATATGTATGCATTATCATATCATGAAAATTTGAAGAACCAGATATTTCATACACCTTAAATTAATTTACTTTTTCTCTTGGTCCTTTTCAAAGTGAATGTAGAATATTGATCCTCTGCCAATGAATAAGCTTCAAGTATAAGTGATATATCTTGGAAACCTACAGATAATTAGAAATGTACAATGCAAATACAATAATTTGACAAACACCACCAGCCATATGACTTCACACAGTAATGTTATTCCTGATAACTTTTCCATACGCCACCCACTACATCTTCATTTTGAGGGAAAAAGGAAGAGAAAGAAAGGTGTAAAGGGTGGCGTTCAGAAAAATGATGTAGGAATAACATTACCTATTTCCCTATATCATATGAAGCATTTTTTCTATTTGACATACGGAATAATGAATGCATTGTAATGATAATACATTCAGATAGTCTACTTCATTTATGAGTTTAATTGACATTAGTCAAGTTATGCAGTTAGCTATATTTCTACATATATTAATATTTCCTAGAACAGGAGTAGCAAAAGGGAGCAAAGGATAAAAAGAAAGCAATCCTTTTGTATGTGGCGCACACTGCACTATAAGTTTCTCTCAAGTTTTTTCTTGTTAAGCCAACATACCACCATTACAAAATCTCGATGGTAAAAGAACAATACCTTTTTGCATCGGTGATGTTTATATCCTTCTTGCTGGAGCTGTAGTCTTCACCAAGGTGGATATCATTACGGTTTTGAAAAGGCATGTTGCAGATAAATGGTGACAAAAGCGGATCAGGCATTGATTCTTGTTTGTTTCCTGTGGCAGCCAGTTTCTTGCCAAGCATTGCTGAATTACCATACCAGATGCTAGATTTCTCAGACTTCCAAGCGCACTTTAGATCAAATATCAATATATTGAATTGAGTTAGACAACAAACAAATGCTCATAAAGCCAAATAGGTGCTACATTACATTTTAGAACACAATTTTTTTGAGATAAGCAAAGATACCTTTCGTGAGTTTGAATGTATAAATTGAGGAATTGCATCCTTCCCTAAGTTTTCTTCACACACAGGACAAACCTGATATAGGAAAATTGAAGCAGAGATTTCAATCATGACTTACCTGCATGAAATGTATAGAAATGTCTGATTTCATTTTTCCTACTTTTTAACTATAATGGCTACTGGATCCCTGGATTCTTTATCTTTTTAATCCAGATCAGGACAGTGCACCATATCAAGCAGACACATAAATTATCTTTACAGATTTATATATTAACTGCATATAAGCAAGGAACTATAATCTATAACAAAGTGATTGAACAGTTTATCTATCAATCAAGGAAAAAAGGAAAAATAAAACGTTATATTATAACAAAATTGTAAACATGATATCACTTTGCTTAAACAAAATTTTAAGAAGCAGAAAGGTTATACCACATTTTTTAGGGCAGAGCAATGCTCCTCTTCCAAATTGCTGCAGAGCACAGAAACTTCAATTTCAAAATCACAGAAAGGACATCGGAAATTAGATCGGCCATCATTATCCACATCTGTGTAATGGATCGCAGAATAATTATCTGTGGTTTAAAAGGGATCAGTGTAAGCAAGCAATATCTAGCACAAGTACAAGAACTACATAATGCATGACATAATAGAAGCGTCTCAATATCTTAATAGATAAAAGCAATAGGAAAAATAAATGAACTGCACATGATACACTGATTAAACTGCACAAGGTCACAAAATACCATCACGAAGGATAAGCACATGTCAAACTTGGGAGAGCCTGAGCTAAAATAAAAACTTTGCCTTATGATCAAATATACCACATGTCAAGACATTACACTGAGCAGCCTCCCATTCATTTAACTTTCTCCAGCAACATCATAAACTGCTACAAGGTTTTATTATCGTAAGAAACAAACTCTATTTTCGTTCGCTCCTAAGACTGAAGATGCTAGACTGCTAATTATATAGATAGGATCTCACAGTGAGTCAAAAGACTTTTTATGGTAAGAGAAAGACATATGGAAGCTAAATAGAAGCTTCGTTGTAAATATTGCTTCCGATAATCAGATCCTAGAATCCATTTGTCTAAATTAAGAAAAGAAAATTTTCACACTCTTTAACTGCAGAGAATGACATGTATACATTAAAAACGTAGCTGTGAGATTTATACACTGGTAAAAAAAAAAAGAGAGATTACATGCCACTAGATAGCAAAACACTGACTTTTCAAGCAAATTAGGTCCAATTACTCATTTAGAACATAACGAATATCCTCAAATTCAGTCCCATAATTAACTCAGTGCTTCTGACAAATAATGACAGCAACATAGGCAAAGCCTAGAACGCTTTCTGTAATAATATGTGAAGGTGCTAGCCACAAGGAAAGTATGACACAACTTTGAAACCAAATGTAATGAAATGGGTTCACTCACTCTGGTGTTGACAATTCAAGTGTGAACCATAAAAGTCACAACCCAAATGCATTTCCCCAGTTCTACCCACCCAAAAGGGTTCATAAATACTGAGAACTCAAATAAAACCATGGCTCGAACCTCAAACCCGAAAACAAATAGGAAAAATAAAAAAGGGGGGCACTCAAACAAAACAACACAGGGAAATAACAATATGAAAACAAAGTACCTGAGTGAAGTGTAGTAGCTTGGACAGCAGAGAGGTGCTTGGCAGAATGAATACTAGACCTGAAGTCGAAGTCGAAGTCCATGATGTCACGAACACACAGTACTGAGCACTGCACTGGAAGTGGTGGTTTTGTTTTGCCTTTGATCAAAGAAAAAAGAGGTGCCTTTGGTTTTGCCTCTAAAGTCTCAACTCAAAAGAAAGAGAGGACTTTGCTTTGGCATTAGTCATCATCACCAGCTTTGTTGGTGTTGTGATGTTTTGCTTAGTCATGTATTTGGTTTCTGACACTCTGAATGCTTTCCGACACACAAAAAGACCAACCATGATTCCTGACACTTGACATTTTTTTTATTTTTATAACCCTTTATTATTAATTACCGATTTGACCTTGATTATAAACTATTTCAAAAATTTAATCCCCTCAAAAAACATAACATTAATCTGCCCCTGTTTGACCGTTGACCACCAAGCCTACCCGGGTACACCCCTCTGTACCGGGTATTTTTTGAAAAAATTTGTCTACCCGGTAGGGAGGCGTGTACCCGAATATTGTTCTTCGCACCTGAGAAATTGCTTGAACTATTTACCCGGGTAGAGAGGGGTGTACCCGGGGTAAATCTTCGACCACCCGAGTATGATTACTCTTTGGATCTCCCATGCACTCTTCTTCTCCAAGCTTTGAATATGGAGGCACCCACTATCACGTGCTTCGCCTCTGCAACTTTTTTGGGTCTCTAAAGCACACAAATATTTTTCAATGATTATTTCAGAAAGGGAATTCTCAATTAACACTATAAATCCACAACCACAAACCTTGTCCCATGCATGTCTTCCCTGAACGTGATAATTCGTCATTTACAAGTAAAATGAAAAGCTGCATGCTCACACTAAATTTCTGTACCATGAACCTGTCTTTATTTTCTTTCCGTCTCACTCTCCCCAATAGACCCGGTACCACATTTATATATAGGAGCGCGATTTTGACATACATAAAAGTAGACCCCATCATAATCGATACGAACATGGACCGCTTTGATGAGCAGTAAAGTGTTGATGTATGGAAATTCCAAATCCATTCTCAAAGCTAAAAGCTCTTCAAATTGGTTAGGCATGCTTAACTTGATAATACTCATCTATCTCATTAGCTGTAAAAAAGAGAGAAAAAAAAATTACCACGAAACAATTAATTACACATCCGCAAATATAATTAACTTGTGGTAAAATCAAATAAATCATATCTGTTCCATCAGCTACAAGTTGCCCCAGTTATAGCAAGTACCAAATGGGTGGTCGAAGATTTACCCGGGTACACCCCTCTCTACCCGAGTAAATAATTCAAGCAACCTCCTCCCTACCCGGGTAGACAAAAATTTTCAAAAAATACCTGGGTACAGAGGGGTGTACCCGGGTAGGCTTGGTGGTCAACGGTCAAACAGAGACAGATTGGTGTTATATTTTTTGAGGGAGTTAAATTTTTGAAATAATTTATAATTAAGGTCAAATCGGTAATTAATTAATAATAAAGGGTTATAAAGGTCAAAAAGCCCTTATTTTCTTGTTCCCAATTACTAATAATTTAATAACTCAGCGAATTCTAAACAAAGAAAGGACAAAGAAACCACCAACACACGAGATCCATCTTGATTAACTTTGTATGAAATGATTATTAAGGAGTTATACTTATATAATAATAATTTAGATCAGAGTAAAATAACCAATTGCTGAATGAATTTTAAATTGATAAAACAATAATAAAACATTTTGTCTACTACTTTATAGTAGTTGCCAGTTCTTTACATTATTATTATTTAATTGTATCTTAACGTAGTTTTTGTCCTTTTCTGGCTAATTATTTAGCCACCGAGATATTTTCCGCTATTTTCGGAAATGGAAGACCTTAATTTCTTAAATAATTATTATGATAATTCAACTCTTTAGTAATATAATAACATATTATTAAATATGATAAAAAAAGGTACATAATTTTTTTTACATGACTAACAAAACTTGTTAACTCTTTGTAAAAAAAAAATTACATTGAAAATATATGAAAACCAAATTTAATATCAAGTCATCCTGAGAAATTGTGTTTCCAATTCATTAGCTTTAAGGATCATACAAGCCTTCAACACGCAAATCAAATAACCTAGCCATATATCAATTCATCACTTTGACCAAAATAATAAAGAAAAATTTATCATGTCTAATAATGGTTTCCCTAATAAAGTTTCTCAGACATTTCTTTTCAAGGTGACTTCAAAAAAAAAACTTGGCTACTTCTTAAACGCAAGTGGTCTAGTTCGTGTTCAAGTGCTCCATATGATATAATATTCGACTCTGCAGTTTTTAATTTTGTATATGGGAAATCATTTTGAGATTGCTTTCATATATTGTGATGTATCAAAATTTGCGCTATTTTTTTTTTAACAAGTATTGAGATCTATCATTTATTGTGTTTATAGCATGAGAGATGTTATCTATATGACATGAGAAAGAGAAACCCTTATTATATATTGCGATCTTTTACGATTTTGAAAAATTGGAGAGGATCTTTACCTTTGAATCTTTTATTTTATAATAAAATTAAAAGTTAAATTCTTGGACTCTAACTACTTTTCTCAACTGCACTTCAATACTAATAAGCATAATTTTCTACGGGAATATATATACATGAAAATAATTACCATTAAATAATTAAAAAGATTTCAATGATATATTATCAATGGAAAGTGTTGGAACAGACAACTAAAAGCAGGACAAAGAGCATTGAACGTATGAGCAAAGGAGTTAGAGAAAAAAGCTACTTTGACATGGAGGACACAGGGTGGTGCCGTGGCAGTGACCATTGAATACACAAAGGGCCAAAAGTAAAACACGCAACCTCAAATCTTTAAAGGTCGGTTGTACTTTAAAGCATTCTTTTTCTAAAATCATAAAAAACAAAAGAAAAAAAAAGTTATTGAATATTTTAGGAATTGAATTTGTTGTGTAGAAGTAGAACCATAACTTTTTGGGCTTTTACATTCATCGAATCATATTGTATTCATTCATGCATGGTTGATGACAATGTTATGCCTAACCTTTTGGAAGGTGGAAGCAATTAAGAATACGACGAAGGAGCAAATGGGCCGCGCCATCACCATCTTCCAATTGCCATTAACGGATGTCCATGGATCTGTAGCCTTGGGGTCGCTACTCGCTAGGCTAAACGCGAGGCATTATAATATTTGTAAAACCCAAAGTGACTACATATTACGTCTAAAAGGCCCACTCTTCTTAATTCCTTTTCGGCAAATGATGCAAAAGCCCACACCTTGCATCACTGAGATTTATTATTATTATTATTATTTTTTTTTTTGCTACAATCAGAAAAGGAACAAATTTCTGTTAGGCCATTTGCCAGCTGTGTCTTAGTTTTCCATTTTCTTTTCTTGGCGATAGCCCTCATAACCCTATTAGAAAGAAAGAAAGAGAAGGAGCAATTTTTATTTTATTTTTTTAAATTAAAACTAGGGAGTAATACATGCCTTGCATGGATATTCTCACAATTTTATTTGATAGATTATTGTAGGTTACATTAAATAAATTGAATTTACAAAAAATAATAATATCCGTGACGTTTTTCAGTCATTTTGATAATAGTTGTACATTGATTCAATTGTGATTTTTGTTTATTTTTAATGTTAATTAGTTGTTTTAAAAGAAACTTGTCAAAAAAGTTTCTTTTGAAAATAAAAATTACTGTAAATGTGATATTAATCTAAAAACTTATAAATTCACCAAAATAAAAATATAAAAAATTATAATAGTATTAAATCAAGCTATATTTGACCGACATAATAAAGATAAGATCATAAATTTGTTCCCTAAAATCATAAAAATAATTCATTATTCTCTAAAAAAATCTCCCCTATTCTATCCTAAGACAGTTTAGAGGCCAGCCGTTGGTAGTTTTGGTGTTTCCCTATAAGTTTGTTTTGCTTTTCTTTTCTTCTTTTACTTTAATATATATATATATATATATATATATATATATATATATATATATATATATATATATATATTCATAAAAAATAAAGAAGTAGTTTTATCGACATTTTTGTCCAATAATACACACCCACATGTTTGATATTGATAAGTAACTTACTCAAAATTTAAAACTTAATAGAGTAAATAATACGTTTAATTAGTATGGACTGTAAAACATGATATTAATTTTTTAATATTGTGACGTATGATTATTTATTATCTTTGTTTTAGTTAGTCAGGGAATAAAATGGTAAGAAATAATGAGGTGTTAAAATATTACTGAATGTTAATATAAAATTTCTTTAGATTGAAATTAAGTTCACACTAATTAAATATATAACTAATAATTTTCAAATAAAATCTTTACCAGCAAAAATTATTCAAATAAAATAAAATCCAATGCGACAAATTAAGACAAAGACACAGAAGCCTCCGAGTTCCCATTTTTCTTTGAAGCCTGTGTCTAAAATGGAGGTTACTACTTACCACTACCGGTCATCGTTAACCTGATTGAAAAGCAAGAGACGAATGGTTACAATGATAAACTTAGCTTTACTATTATTTATTTATTTTGAATAAATTACATGTATCTTCCATATGAGACAATTTTGTTCGAGTGGGTTCAGAATTAAGGATAAACTTAGCTTGACTATATTTTGAGCTTAGTATAAATGCTTCGTGGGTGGAGCCTGCCCAGGATTCAGCAGGCACGTTCGTAACACATAACCATAGTCAAACAGCAAATTAAAGAAAAGGGTATATATGTTCCTTTGAACTCATTACGGTGCGTAGTGTAATTGTCAGCCATTGATCAAAAGCTGGTTTTAGTTGTAATTTATTCAAAATGATCGAGTATATAGCAAGTTGAACTAAATATAAAACCATTAACTTCTTAGCCCATTATGTCTCTCCTGTTTCTTAATTACTTTAGGAAGTGCACACTTCCAGGGTAGCCTACAATAGAATTAAAGCATTAACAAGTCGCAGAGGGTTATCAGCATGATCCTGCCCTGTATCCATATATATAATTAGTATCTCTTTTAGTTGAAATCATATTTTTACGAAAACTTAATTCAAGAGGGGGTCCTGTGGCTGATAATTATAATAATAAAAACAGTAATCAGTTCGAAATTAATTGTCTTATTGAGTATACAATGTCAAAAAAAATTTAGTAAGTCATGAAAGGTTGCATCTCAATATATAATCTAAATTGAATTTAAAATTTATTATACTAC